ATTAGAAATCAGGCCATTTTCTCCTAGACTTCTATACAAGATGCATTTTTCTTTTTCAACCAGTAGAGTCGCCCCCTGCTGGATGTTAAAGGGAATAAATGCACAAGTGTATCGATAGAACATAAAACAAACAATTTAATATGTATAATTGCGCAATTGTAATAATTAAACAAATGATGTTAAAATCCCGACAACTCCGCCCTCTATGTTAGAGGCAGAGCTGGAGTATGACGGGGGATCAACACCAATCTCCCGGGGGGAGGTCACTGAGGTCGTCAAACAACTCCACAGTGGCAAAGCCCCGGGGGTGGATGAGATCCGCCCGGAAATGCTGAAGGCTCTGGGTGTTGAGGTCATGGTTGACACGTCTCATCAACGTTGCGTGGAAGTCGGAAACGGTACCGAAGGAGTGGCAGACCGGGGTGGTGGTCCCCCTTTTTAAAAAGGGGGATCAGAGGGTGTGTGCCAATTACAGAGGCATCACACTACTCAGCCTCCCCGGGAAAGTTTACTCTAAGGTACTCGAAAGGAGGGTCAGGCCGATTGTCGAACCTCAGATTGAGGAGGAACAATGCGGATTCCGTCCTGGTCGTGGAACGACGGATCAGCTTTTTACTCTCGCAAGGATCCTGGAGGGGGCCTGGGAATACGCTTATCCGGTCTACATGTGTTTTGTAGACTTGGAGAAGGCGTATGACCGAGTTCCCAGGGAGTTACTGTGGGAGGTGCTGCGGGAGTATGGGGTGAGGGGGGTCTCTACTCAGGGCCATCCAATCTCTGTACTCCCAAAGCGAGAGCTGTGTCCGGGTCCTCGGCAGTAAGTCGGACCCATTTCCGGTGAGGGTTGGCCTCCGCCAGGGCTGCGCTTTGTCACCAATCCTGTTTGTAATATACATGGATCGGATTTCGAGGCGTAGTCATGGGGGAGGGGGTCTGCAGTTCGGTGGACTAAGGATTGCACCACTGCTTTTTGCAGATGATGTGGTTCTAATGGCTTCATCGGTCTGCGACCTTCAGCACTCACTGGATCGGTTCGCAACCGAGTGTGAAGCGGCTGGGATGAGGATCAGCACCTCCAAATCTGAGGCCATGGTTCTCAGCAGGAAACCGATGGACTGTCCACTTCAAGTAGGGAATGAGTCCTTACCCCAAGTGAAGGAGTTCAAGTATCTCGGGGTCTTGTTCTCGAGTGAGGGAACAATGGAGCGTGAGATGGGCCGGAGAATCGGAGCAGCGGGAGCGGTACTGCAGTCGCTTTACCGCACCGTTGTGACGAAAAGGGAGCTGAGCCAGAAGGCAAAGCTCTCTGTCTACCGGGCCATTTTCGTTCCTACCCTCACCTATGGTCATGAAGGATGGGTCATGACCGAAAGAACGAGATCGCGGATACAAGCGGCCGAGATGGGTTTTCTCCGCAGGGTGGCTGGTGTCTCCCTTAGGGATAAGGTGAGAAGTTCGGTCATCGGGGAGGGACTCGGAGTTGAGCCGCTCCTCCTTCGCGTCGAAAGGAGCCAGTTGAGGTGGTTCGGGCACCTAGTTAGGATGCCACCTGGGCGCCTCCCTAGGGAGGTGTTCCAGGCACGTCCAGCTGGGAAGAGACCAAGGGGTAGACCTAGGACCAGGTGGAGGGATTATATCTCTTCGCTGGCCTGGGAGCGCCTTGGGATCCCCCAGTCAGAGCTGGTTGATGTCGCCAGGGAAAAGAAAGTTTGGGGCTCTCTGCTGGAACTGCTACCCCCGCGACCCGACCACGGATAAGCGGAAGAAGATGGATGGATGGATGGATGTTAAAATACTAATGTTAGCAAGTTTAAAACAGTCAAAGCTAAGATCAATGAGGATTGTGATGAAGTGTTTTACTCTCAATAAAGCATAACGTTATATATAAATCATGTTATATTGAAGAAGACAGACATTGAGACCATAAAATCATCTGGAAAATGTTCACTGAGGTAATAAATCAAGGGAGAAGTGTCTTAAAGACTTTTATACAATCCCAAAGCATACGTAGCTTTATTGTCTATTTTACTTTCAATCGGAACATCATTTAATAAACAAACATGATACCATATTGAAGAAGACCTAAACTAGAGATTGAGACCTTAAACTCATCAGGAAAAATGTTGACGGAAGTAATAAATCCAATGAGAAGAAGGGTCATTCTCAACCCAGTCTCACACAAAACGTGTAATAGCTACGTTGGTCCACGGGGCAAAACGTAGTATATTCACAAATAACCCTCTCAAGACGTGACATCATGGATACAATATTTTATCCTATTCATTTCTAATGACCGGTGTCCGTGTCACGTGATCGCAAACTTTCCCAGTGAGAAAATAAAACACGGCGGACCCCCAAATAATTTTTAGTGGAAAATCCTAAATTGTAGGATAGTTTGGCCAAATGCTTTTTGATTACATTATAGCGAGACGTTTATATTGTACTTTTAAAATCTACATCCAGTGGATGTGTAGGGTCCATAGTTTGATAGATATTACGAAGATTATTTGAGCTCCATGATTTTTTTACAAAATATTGTATTCATGTCACGTCTTGAGAGGGTTATTTGTGAATATACTACGTTTTTCCCTGTCGACCAACGTAGCTATTACACGTTTTTTTGTGAGACTGGGTTGTCATTTTCTACTCAGACGTATTTCGCGTCAAGTGGAGTTTAATGCACACTCCACACATAAACGCAATACTTAGGAGCTGTTTTTTTCAGTCTCCTTAAACAATATTTCTTTGGAAAGTGACAAGTAATCTGACTACTTCTGCAACCAGATGAGTCACCCCCTGCTGAATATTACACAGTACCTCCACATAGGTTTGACTTGTCAGAGACTGCTTCTTGATTTAAAGCCCATCATAGAGAGTTTGGCCCTCGTCCACCATGACGGATAATTTATTCAACATCATTTTTCTCCTGCAGCCATCCTTCATGCAGTTTAACAGCTGGATGTCTGTCTCACCACTGTGTCCTTGAGCCAGACCTCCAAACTGCAATACAAAGTTTCACATGCGCACAGAAAGACTTAAAGGTCCCATGTCATGGCCATTTCTACTGATCATAATTCCATTGTTGAGGTCTGCTAGAATACATTTACACTGTTCAATGTTCCAAACTCACATTGGTTTCTCTTACAGCATCTCTGTATAGTATGTGTATTCACTCTCTGTCCTACACGGCTTGTTGGAGCTTCTGCCCCCCCCCCCTCCCTATGAGCCCACTGTGCTCTGATTGGTCAGCTCGCCCACTCTGTTCTGATGAGTCCACCACCGTTACAGCGGAACATCAGTCAGTATGTGTTAAAATGGCGTTTGTTAGCAACCAGGAAATGACACCAGTAATGACAAACAGATGAGAATGCTGCGTGGGGTCTGGGTGCCGTGTTGGCGGGACGTTGGCGGGCTCGCTGCTCCGCCCTTTGAGGCTCGAGGAGCGGACAGTGTGAGCTGGATTACTGGCGTTGTTTCCTGGTTGCTGTGTGGGGTCTGCGAGACAGCGAGACCCCGCAGAACTCAGCCTGAGCACACACTCACAGCCAGGCGAGTGTGTGTGTGTGTGTGTGGTGTGTGTGTGTGTGTGTGTGTGTGTGTGTGTGTGTGGTGTGTGTGTGTGTGTGTTGTGTGGTGTGTGTGGTGTGTGTGTGTGTATGTATGTGTGTGTGTGTGTGTGTGTGTGTGTGGGGTGGGTGTGTGTGTGTGTGTGTGTGTGTGTGTGTGTGTGTGTGTGTGTGTGTGTGTGTGTGTGTGTGTGTGTGTGTGTGTGGCCTAGCATTACTATACTTGTGGGGACCTAAATCTGTCTACACAGTCACGTGTGGGGACTCGCCTCCCTTATGGGGACAAATTGGAGGTCCCCATGAGGGGAGTCATTAATTTTAGGGTGAAGACTTGGTTAGGATTAGGGTTAGGGTTAGGCATGTGTTGGTTATGGTTAAGGTTAGGATAAGTCTCCAGGAAATGCATGTAAGTCAATGTAATGTCCCCTTAAGTGATGTATAAATGGTGTGTGTGTGTGTGTGTGTGTGTATGTGTGTGTGTGTTGTGTGTGTGTGTGGGGGGTGTGTGTGTGTGTGTGTGTGTGTGTGTGTGTGTGTGTGTGGAGCTCCGCGGATTGGTCCGGATTTGGTTGGCGTTATGTCACTATGACCAGGAAGAAACAAATGGAATAAGAGAAATCTCCAAGGAGGCGTTCTGGGGCAGCACAGACAGGTCTTCTCTGTGTCAGAGTTTTACTCGCTACAGGGTGTACTTTGAGGGTTTGTGACTCTGCAGACCGTTTACATGCAGAAACACCTTCATAACAACAAGGGGACGGGTAATAACCGGAAAAGCATGAAATGTGACCTTTAAGATTCAACAGCTGTATCTATTATTTACAATAGATACAGCTGGAAATAAACAATTGAAATCACAGGCTCCCCTAACAATGAAACATACTATTCAGAAGGCATAGTGAAATAAAATAGTGCAAGAGACATAATGCTGAATGTCAGTTGCTGAAATAAGACAACAAATATACGTTAAAAAAGATAAACCAGAATATAAAATGTATACAATAATTAAGCAGAATATGAATGTTTGGCGAATATAGCTTTTAAATTAATCTTTAAGTTGTATATCATCTTAATATAGACATCATAATGTATTTGACGAGTAGAGTAACAAAAGTTATTAAATAAATCTTTAGTTTAGTATGAACTAGCAGAAAATGTATATAATAAAGGAGAGTATGACTACAAAGCAGTGTCCTATAGTTAGAAGTACAATTCCTGCATTCAAATCTTAATTTGTCACGGTGTTTGTGTGTGTGTGTGTGTGTGTGTGTGTGTGTGTGTGTGTGTGTGTGTGTGTGTGTGTGTGTGTGTGTGTGTGTGTGTGTGGGGGAATGCTGGGAGATAACCTTCAGTGGGTGTCGGCCTCCCTTACTCTCGAGACAGATTTTTCCGTTGCTAAGGGAACTGTTGCTAGGACGGCGGTCGCACCTCTCTCTCTCTCTGCTAATATAAACTGGATGATGCTCCTCGGGCTGCGGCAGCTAACTCAGCCTTTAAGTTTCACATCTCCAGATTCTTCACAACGCAGGAACGTATAATCTTCTACTTTCTGTGGACTCCCTGCAGTGTGTTCTACAGGTTTTAGTGCATGTAAAGGGTCTGCAAAGGCCACAATCCCTGGGTTCCCTCCAGAGGAAGATTCTCTCACACACACTCCCCCCTCCCGGCATGAAACACCTCCATTGGACTCCTTTGTTTACTTCAGGAAAATTGTGACATCACTATGTAACATTGGCACTTCTATTGGCTATCTCCAACACATTGTACGTGATAGGCTAAGAGGCGGGACATCTAGAAGCAGTTTTTCTAAGGACAGAGGGTGTCATATTCGTATTCATGTTCTGTAAACTGTAAAGTCCCCAAAAAACAATTTAAAATGTGTGATATCGGACTGTATAAAAAATTATTTCAAGGGACTCCATGAATCTCCTATAACAGTTTTATTTTGAACACTGTTGTTTTACAGTTGAGTGAAAACTTTTAAATGATAGAAAGTTGATGTTTTAAATGGTTCTTTAAGTGTTTTGACTATAGGAATATTGATTAACATTTAGGTCAAATAAGGACACAAATATAAGTCTTATAGTTAAAATATATAAAATAAATCCATTCTTCAAGGGACCCTTTTAAACTCCCTTAAAGATTATTAAAAGTTGTTGTTTCAAAAATTAAAGCTTTACTGTTTTAACAAAGGATAACAATTTGATGGATTCTAATAAAGACACAATCCCCATTATCAGCATTATTTATCAATCACTCAATACATCAATTAACATCAGTCAGTAAATTAGACAGGGTTCAAACCATGACACCCTGCTGTTCACACACACACTCCCCCCCCATTCTGTCTCTGTCTGACACACACACACACACACACACACACACACACACACACACCCTCCCTATCCAGTCGGTGTGTTCCGTAGCTGATTGCAGAGCACACCTTTAGACATCCATTCACACCGATCCTCCACTGCTCCCTCCCTCCATCTGGCTCTCTCTCCCTCCACCCCCCCCCCGGTACAACGTTGATCTCCAGCTTTCCTACCCGCCTCATCATGAGCCATAAGCGGCCACCAACAGCAGCCTGATGTCGCTTCTTCACCGGCGCCCGGAGCCTCCGCAGCGGCGGTAGCGGCGGCGCATTTTGGCGGAGAAACGCGCGTCTTTCTTCCGTCGTCTTTTTTATTCCAAATCCTTTTTTGTGTGTCTGGAGATGCTGTTGCGGGGCCGCTGTCATACCGTGTGATAGAGAGCGAGGAGGCGGGGGGTGGTGGTGGTGGGGTGGGGTCGGGGTTGCCCTGCCCTGCCCTGGCCGGACTAGCTCTCCCTCCTCCAGCATGAACCTCCACTCGGGCAGGGCGTCCGTGGCTATGCTGCGGATGATGGGCTGTGCTAACGGGCGCTCTGCTCGGAATCTCCTCCACAGTGACTGCGTGGTGGATGAGAAGTCGGTGGTGCTCCAGAAGAAGGAGAATGAGGGATTTGGCTTCGTGCTGCGAGGGGCAAAAGGTAGGAAAAAACATTTGGACTTTTTATGTTTTTTGCATGTCTGTTTCTGTCAATCTGCCCCCCCCCCCCCAAAAAAAAAAAAAAAAAATCACATGTTGCAGTTGTATTCGCTGCAACATCTGCATTTATACCTTTTGCATTTAAACATTTGGTGCATTTTGTTTTTCTTGGCTATTCTTAGATCACTCTTGGAGGTTTATGTGGGAGAATGCATGGAGTGATGCTGTAGCCTCCCCCCTCCTCCCCCCTTTAAAAAAAATAAGTTCTGCAAATAAAAACACATTTCAATGCAACTTTTAACCTGACCGTCCCTGAAGCCTTTTGCCTCTTTCTGACAATATTCCACAAAAACCAACAAATCCTGCACTAATTTTTGCTGCAAAATCTGCATTTTCGTACTTCTTGCAAACCCGTTTTTGGTGCTTTTTTCATGCATTCTTGGCTATTCTTAGATCACTCTTGGAGGTTTATGTGGGAGAATGCATGGAGTGATGCTGTAGCCCCCCCCCCTCCAAAACAACAGCATGCAAATAAGTTCTGCTAATAAAAACACATTTGAATGCAACTTTTATTATGACCTTCCCTGAGGCCTTGTGCACACACACACACACACACACACACACACACACACACACACACACACACACACACACACACACACACACACACACACACACACACACACACACACACACACACACACAAACACACACACACACACACACACAGTAGAAGTGTCAGATGCATTATGACGGCATGTTGACGTTAACCCCCCCTCAAAACTTGCCTTCATTTTTATTTTCTTTGCGTGTCTTAAAGGTTAAATCTGCCTTTTAGGGCTGCAAAAAGCTCTTAATACGACTTCAAATACCTCTTTTGAATCTGCTTCTGGTTTATGTGTCTGGTGTGTACCTGCGTTGTATCTGGACAACTCCCCCCCCCCCCCCCCCCCCCCTGCCACATGATGAGTTGTTGTGATACACACATGCAGTTTGATGTTCCTCCAGGCCATGAGATTGGCTCTAAAAATAGCCAGTTTGAGCTGCTGCGTCTCTTTCTATGACGATTCTCGCCATGTCATAATCCACGTTGCATTCCACAACTGTGCGATTGGTCTACGCCGGGGTTACTGTCGAGAATTTAGTATTCAGTCTTTTTTTTTTAAGAAAGAGAGGAGGCAGAGACGAAGAAGAGGAAATTGGTTTAAAAAAACAAAACAAAAAACATGAGGAAGGTTCTAGTCCTTCTGACACACTCTGCTATCACCCCGGGGGAACTGACCCAGTCAAGCTTATCCTGCACGGGGGTGAACACACACACACACACACACACACACACACACACACACACACACACACACGCACGCACGCACTTGAGCTGTCACATAAGCTCACATCCTTTCCTCTGCTCTCTGACGTTTTTCTTTTTTACTCTCCATCTCCATCCTCATCTTTCTCCTCCTCTGTGTCACACATTCAGGCAGACACCACCCAAAGAAACTCATCATCACATTCATGTAAATCCCCAGAATCCCCCCCCCCCTCTCCTCTCTCTGGTGCTTCCAGTACTGGGATGAGTTATAGGAAGTGTCACTTGTCACCACTGGTTTCTCCCAGTTTTTGTAACCTTCCCGAGAGCAAGAGGGAGACGGAGCCAGCATACAGTGTTGACTGATGTTGAAACATTAAAAGCAAAATGCACTATTAAACATAATGTTTTGGTCTGCATGTGCGTGGAATCATCTCTTGTTTGCATGGTGGTTTGAAGTGTTCCTAAAGGGACAGTACACTCCAAAATCAGAGCCTATTGCAACCCAGTCTCATGGCAGCTTGCTGTTCATGTGATTTAATGTACTGATATCGTCTTTTTATCAGGACAAAAGTCGGGATTGAGGCGAACAAAAGTTGTATATTTTTCCCCATTTTTTGAACCGTGACTAAAAATGTAAAAAAGTCACAATTATTATTGCTTTTATTTATTTATTTCATTATTTTTGATATGCTGTTTATGTCAGTAAGAACACAAGTCTAAGGGACTGAGGAGACCAGAAGCTGGATATTATTTTTATTTATTTATTATTTTTTAACTTAAACTGCTGCTTTACTAACGATAATAATAATCAAATCAAAGTTTATTTATAAAGCACATTTAAAAGCGATTTTTGGTCGGGCCAAAGTGCTGTACATGTAATAAATACTACAATCACATAAAAACACATTACTACAATCACAATAAAAGACAATAAATTACAACAGATATATAAAAAACAGCCCTCGGGTTTTGAGCCTGGTCTTGGGCACTACCAGCAGCAGCTGGTCAGCCGACCTTAATGCTCTGCCTGGGGTGTAGCGATGGAGGAGTTCTGCTGTATAGGCCGGAGCCAGCCCATTTAGGGCTTTAAAAACAAATAAAAGGATTTTAAAATCAATTCTGAACCGAACTGGAAGCCAGTGCAGTGAAGCCAGAATTGGGGTGATGTGGTCACGCTTTTTGTGGCCAGTGAGAAGACGTGCAGCTGCGTTCTGCACTAGCTGCAGGCGTTTAATTGACGCCGGGTCCATACCCACGTACAGAGCGTTGCAGTAATCCAGTCTCGAGGTAACAAAGGCGTTAATAACCCTTTCCAGGTCTTTAAAAGATAAAAACGACTTGGTCTTGGCCAATAGTCGTATTTTAAAAAAGCAGGATTTGACTACGCTGCTTATCGAATTTAAAAGCGCTATTGAAGGTCACTCCAAGGTTCGTGACAGAGGGGAGGATATTATTTTTGAGGGAGCCCAGAATATCAACCGGGGAGGCTGGAGGTTGGGGTCCAAAAAAGATAACCTCAGTCTGGCTCTCATTGAGGTTGAGGACATTTTGGCTCAGCCAGGATTTGATCTCTGCTAAGCAGTGCATCAATATCTGTAATTAGTTGACATTTGAATTGAGAGGCAGATAGATCTGTACATCGTCGGCGTAGCAGTGGAAGGGGATGTTGTGTTTTGTGAGAATTGAACTTAGGTATGTACAGTAGAAAAAGGATGGGGCCCAGAATCGAGCTTTGGGGAACCCCACAGGTAAGAGGGGCTTTGGCAGAGGAGAAGGTACCTAGCTGCACTGAGAAGCTACGGTCTGTCAGGTAGGACCTGAACCATGCAAGGGCAGAGCCTGTGATGCCTGCGGACTGTTCAAGCCGTGACAACAGGATGCTATGGTCCACAGTGTCAAAGGCAGCTGTCAGGTCTAACAGCAACAGGACAGCTGGGCTACCTGAGTCAGTTTAATGATATTATGCAGGTCAGTTAATCAGGTAAAGACTCAGGACTGGGGAGACAGGAAGTTGTTTTAGTTTTTTTGTGTTAAAGCTTGACAGAAAAAGACGTGATGCAGGCACCAACAGTGAGCCATTTTAGTTTGAGTTGTCGAACGTCTGAGATATCGGTCGTAGAGATATGTCCAATATAGACACAGCTTTCTCTATAATCTTTTCCCTCCTCTTCCTCCCTCCTGTCAGCGGACACGCCCATCGAGGAGTTCACTCCCACGCCCGCCTTCCCCGCCCTGCAGTACCTGGAGTCGGTGGATGAGGGGGGGGTGGCCTGGCAGGCGGGGCTCCGGACGGGGGACTTCCTCATCGAGGTAAGAGCTGATGCATGTCTTTTCTACATCAACATGTGTCCCCTCTTCTTCATGTCTCTTCTACATCAACATATGTCCCCTCTTCTTCATGTCTCTTCTACATCAACATGTGTCCCCTCTTCTTCATGTCTCTTCTACATCAACATGTGTCCCCTCTTCTTCATGTCTCTTCTACATCAACATGTGTCCCCTCTTCTTCATGTCTCTTCTACATCAACATGTGTCCCCTCTTCTTCATGTCTCTTCTACATCAACATGTGTCCCCTCTTCTTCATGTCTCTTCTACATCAACATGTGTCCCCTCTGTGGAAAGAGACTCTGAAAGTTTCAGGAACAAAGATTCTCTCTCTTTTTGATCCATTTCTATAAAAACCTGTCTAAAAATGAGCTGATCAGATTTTGGCCACTTTATGATGTTATAACGATGTTTTGTCTTGAGTAACCATTAGCCAATCAGCAACCAAGGTAACCCCCCCCCCCACCTTATCACCTGAATCCCCTCCTAGAGCACCATTGTGTTCTTTTTAACCAAATCTCTCTCTGAGGGGCGTGGGGAGGGGCTCCTTATTTTCATCTAAAGTAACAGACAGAGAATCAGCTCTTTGGAACCAGGGCTGAAACAGAGGGGATTATGGGTAATGCTGCAATGATCTGTTTGGTGTTTGGAGCCAAACACTTCAGAGACATGTTCTGTATATATCTGAGACCTTTAATATATTGATGAAAAACAGTACAATAGGGGACCTTTAAAATGTCCTTGCCCATGCAGATGCATTTACAGGCTCCAGAAGCTGGTGCAACATGTGGTCATTGTTGTTGGATTCTAACCTGAAGAAAATGAAACGTTGACCTAAATCAAATGTATTGTGTCTTAAGATTTCACTTAACTGTTAAAGGTTTATTTTAAGCAATAATATGAAATTTAAATATTAGTTTCAACTTTCAACTGACCTAATACAGTTGTGTGAGAATTGACTTAATTAAAGTCAAAGTCATTGTTCTGAGTGCCTTTGCGCTAATGGTTGTTTGGGATGCTAAAGTCAGCTATAACATAGGATGTGCACTAGCTCTTAAGTCTTCAACAAATATGTGTGTTTACTCAGAGCTTGGATCTAAATGCGTTCCTCACTAAGCAGAGAGTGTTTTCAGTCGGTGTGCTGTCTGGTTTTATGGCTCACTTTTATGTGCTTGTGAGAACATCCTATTACTGAAATGAGTTTGAACAAGGCCTCCCTTTATTTTTAACTCATCAGAAATAATATCAATTAAGTGATTGCAATTAAAGCAGCAGTTGAGCTTCTGATTTGGAGGATGACCTGTGGTTAGAATCATCTTTTTAGACGCAAAGTGTGCAAACTGACGACATTGCTATGGGACGAATGGAACTTTTCTTCCACTTTTCTTGTCATCACACAGTACAGGTACTATGTAACAAAATAGTTTCTCTGCATTTGACCCATCCTACTGTTAGGAGCAGTGGGCTGCCATTATGAACGGCGCCCGGGGAGCAGTGTAGGGAACGGTGCCTTGCTCAGGGACACCTCGGTAGCACATGGGGTGTTTCTCAATGTCGAGTACGCTTGCTTGGTAGCACATGTCTTCCGAGTCACTTGCTTCAGAAGCGAGGCAAGAAAACTTCCTGGCATTCGGAAAACGAAGAGTGGAACAGGTGTGCGTCATATGAGAGGCCCCGCCTTACATTTTCCGCCACAGATTTGGGGAAATTGGTCCGTGCGCAAAGCATTGTGGGGATTTTAAGACCGCCTCAAAATTTCTCGCTACGAAGTACCCCGGGCTCGGTAGAATTCCAAGTATGCTGGACATTGGAACAGTCCTTCGGCGGCACTCGATGACGTAGTATGCTTGAAATAGTGGCTCTGGAGCAGCTTTACTCAACATTAAGACCCTTGGTCTTGCCGGGACTTGACCTGGTGACCTTCCAGTTGCCAAGCCAAGTCCCCTATGGACTTCGCCACCACCACTCGCTGTTTATTCCCTGAGTAGTATGACAGATTGTTTTGGGTCTTTTATTTGTTTGAAATGTATCCGGATGTAATGTAGACTTTATATGAAGCTGTTGAAGTTGACATTAGTCTTGCTCATGCTCCTGTGTGAGTCCTTACCTTTGCAGTGCAATATAATACCTACTAATTCAAGGTATTACACATCCTTCAAAAGGGTCTTATATTTTACGTTCGTTTCAGTAGGGATGGCTTTATACTGCTTTCTCATGTCGACACCATCATGTCTTTTTTCCTTCTCTCAAAGTAATACATTATTATGTATGCATTTGTATTGATGCGTTTAGCTTAACCAGCAATCTAGAAAAACACAATTCTCGTAATAAATATTCTAAGAAGACATAGCTGTCAACATGATTCAGTCATATAGTATAATAAGGCTGCTTTTTAATGAATAGGATAAAGAGAAGAGGAGTATTACGATGATCATGAATTCTCAATGCCGGACTGATGTTGGAAAATAAAATACTTGTCCTCAGTGTGCATGAGAAACTGATGAATTACATACATTCAAATGAAATGGTTGAATTAGTTGATTTACTTGTAGTTATTCTACTTAATGTCAGTGTCAGTTTGCTCTACACATGATGGTAATTATTACAACCTGCAATTGATGCCATTTCCACCTAGATTTCTAGAATTAAAGACCATGTAAGAATATACATAATTTATCTTCAAAGATTCTGAATAACCAACATGTTTAACATTTAAGTTTTCCAAGTTATTTTTCCAACAAAGGAAGCAAATTATTTCCATTTAAGGAAAGATTTTAATGTTTCTTTCTTATGTAAGTAATGCATTTTAAATGAGCAAGCATCTGGTAAAGAAAAAGGCAACTATTCTTGAAGTCATTGACAATTAAAAAGTACAATTGCAAACAGTGTTTATTTGTTTATAAGTAAGTCTAGAGCCACATCAGAGTGAGTTAAAGTTATAATGTGCAAGAATGAAAAGATAACATGATATAGAATAAAGATAAGGAAATAAACATAAGAGGTTAAGAATATAATATTAAATAAAACCTTGATCCTTGAGATATCTTGAAATAAATCAAGTCGCTGACACTTAGATATATAACGTTTATAATGAAGCCTGCACTAATATAAATTACGTTTTGTAATATTCCAGCTCCTGGGGCTTTCTTCCACAAGCCTCCATAGTGATATAATAATAATTAGTTTTGTACGTTATGTACTATTGGAGCACGGCGCCTGACTTCATGCATTGTTATACAAGGATGTACAATCGTGCAGGGTTTTATGGTATATTCCAGTCGGAGCTGCAGCCTCTCCGTCACATCGCTGCTGAGAAAGGAAACAGAGTCTGAGGGGAAAGCACATTTTCTATTTTGAGCGTGCACTCTTCCTCCTGTATGACTCCATAACGGCAGCTCAGCGCTGGGGATGGGTTTGTTTAGTGATTCTGCTAAATGGAGCATCAAATGAGAAGAACAAACTGAATCTGCAGCGCTGCCTCAGTGTTTCTGCAGATTTAACATCCTATTATGTTTTATCTGAAACATCTGTTGACCCCCTTCAATCATATCATCATTCTACTTCTGTGCGAAGTCAAAAAACAGCAGATGCATGTTTGAACGATGCATACACGAGGTTTAAAATGTTATGCAAGGCTTTTTGCAAATATTAAAACAAGATATGATTCAAGCTAAACACAAACATGACAATCAATGAAGACAGAGAGTAAACCATACACAGACCAAATTATTTAATATCACCACACTCACAACCTCTGTGCTTTGTATTTAAACATTATTCTGCAGTTTCAATTTAAATATTTAATGAGCATTGAATGCATATCAACTAAAGCTGTGTATTTGCATGAACCTGGCATTATGATACATGATACACTTTGGTACTTTAATCAAGACAATACTTTAAAGTGACTTTTAAAACCTAATTTGGGAAATCTGTCATACATCAACATAGTATAAAGTACACACTATATCATAGTTAAGAAAACATATATTTTGCGTCAATACGCCACTTGCTCTCTCTGTTTAAGTTGATAAATAAATGGCTAAAGATTTCCATCCCTCCACAAAAATCCAATGAGATTTCTCAATTGGATTTTGGGTTCTTGCAGAAAATCATCTCTGTGTAAAACATACGTTTATGATGCTTACATGTTTTGTTCAGCAGGATAATCTCCACATATTAACACCACTTTATCACTTTGGAAGTTAAAAGCTAATGTTGGGCTATAAAGGAACTACAGCACGGTCACAGGACTTCACGTCACCACCGCTAAGCTAAAGGTGGCTAATGTTGGGCTATAAAGGAACTACAGCACGGTCACAGGACTTCACGTCACCACCGCTAAGCTAAAGGTGGCTAATGTTGGGCTATAAAGGAACTACAGCACGGTCACATGACTTCACGTCACACCCGCTAAGCTAAAGGTGGCTAATGTTGGGCTATAAAGGAACTACAGCACGGTCACAGGACTTCACGTCACCACCGCTAAGCTAAAGACGGCTAATGTTGGGCTATAAAGGAACTACAGCACGGTCACATGACTTCACGTCACACCCGCTAAGCTAAAGGTGGCTAATGTTGGGCTATAAAGGAACTACAGCACGGTCACAGGACTTCACGTCACCACCGCTAAGCTAAAGACGGCTAATGTTGGGCTATAAAGGAACTACAGCACGGTCACATGACTTCACGTCACACCCGCTAAGCTAAAGGTGGCTAATGTTGGGCTATAAAGGAACTACTGCACGGTCACATGACTTCACGTCACCACCGCTAAGCTAAAGGTGGCTAATGTTGGGCTATAAAGGAACTACAGCACGGTCACATGACTTCACGTCACACCCGCTAAGCTAAAGGTGGCTAATGTTGGGCTATAAAGGAACTACAGCACGGTCACAGGACTTCACCTCACCACCGCTAAGCTAAAGGCGGCTAATGTTGGGCTATAAAGGAACTACAGCACGGTCACATGACTTCACATCAC